ATATATGGGTGGGAGTTTAGAGAGAGAGGAGTGTGAGAGATTTTGTGAAATTTGGAGGGTGACAAAGAACAATTTGGAGGAAGAGAAATACCAGTGAGAAATTTTTTAAGCCGCAGTTCTATCTTTTGTTTCTTACATTTAATGATATGAGGTTAACGCGGCAAGATACTAAAGAAATATACCAAAATTGATGAGGCACTAGAGAGGTGCGGCTAAATTTTCTTTTTTAGATGGCCATGCGTATGCATTCAGTAAAGCCAGGATTGCGCTGATTCGTGCTTGACTTCCATGGACACGTCTTGCGAAAATGAGAAATGCCTCTAATGTTATAGAGGTGGTAGGACATATATCAAAATTTTTTGCGTGTAGAGTAGAGATTTTAAAGAGAGAGAGAAATTATAGATTTTAACGAAAAGAGAGATATTGCTTCCATATCTTATCGATAAATAGGTTTTTTTTATCCAACCCTTTCCTAAAATTTGGACTTAAATAGTAGAGAAAAGATAATCTCTACACTTTCCTAATATTTTATGCATGAAGAGTATCTATTTTAAGAAGTGTATAAGAGATAATCTCCTAATACAAAATTTTAAGAAATCTACATTTTAATAGGATTTATTTGAGAGAATATGTACCAAAGAGAGAGATAATGAGAGAGTTTAGGAGAGATTTTGAGAAGGAAAGAGAATACATGCAACTGAGAATATGCACAAGAGAGAGATAATGAGAAATTTTAAGAGAGATTTTGAGGGAGAGTACGTGCAAGAGAGAGAATGAGAGATTTTAAGAAATCAAGATTTTAGTACGATTTTATTTGAGAGAATATGCCCAAGAGAGAGAGAGATAATGAGAGATTTTAGGCTAGAGTTTGAAAAGGAGAGAGTGAGTATATGCAAGAAAGAGAAAATGAGAAATTTTAGGACCGATTTTGATAAGGAGAGAGAGTACGTGTAAACAAAAAGAAGGAAAAAAAAAGAAGGAAGAGAGAGCTCAATATATATCTCACTTATATCTTAAACTCTATAGTTACTTTTTCTTCACCTAAAATATCTCTTTCATGCTAAGAGAGAGAGAGATTCCATATCTAAGAACTGGTTTGATCAATGATAGTTCTAGACCACCTGTCGTCAACATTAGATTACCCATTTTAGGGACATCTGATATTTCAGATATCATAGCAGTCCAAAAGTGACTTAAATCTTAAGTCACAATCCTATGATTGAGAAAACGAAAATAATAAAAATAAAAATAAACTGGTCACCAAAGGAAAATTGGAAGAAGAAAAAAAAAACGCGTGGCAACGTACCCTTCCCATAATATTTGAGAAAATACATATCTTTTTATATTTTTTCCCACTAGTTTTTGTGTCCACAAGTAACTTTTCCTTAAATAATGTACTAAACATGCTTAAGCCAAGATCAAGTGAAGCTTGTTCCCACTTGAGCTTGACCTGTTTAATTATCTAGCAAAAAGAGCCCATTATATGAAGTATAGTAACTTGAATTCCCTCACTTAAATTGATATGTCCATCACTAGGCCGAACCCCAAAAGATATATACTAAAGAGCCCGTTATATGAAACATAATACCTTGCTAAATTGGAAAAAGGAAAAATCGGGTACTACGTGATTTAATGCTCCTGAGAGACGCCCATTACGTCCAAACCTTTAGTGTTCGAAATTCTAATATGGAAAATTTTTATAGCAGTGCGATACTCTAAAGAATCAAATTAAGGCGCACATCAAAATTTCACTAGAAGGTGTTGTTTTCATATTAAGAAAACCTCAAATTGATCATTTCAACCTCAAGATGCACGGACACGAGAAAAAATGGATTTCATGTTTTGAAAATAGTGCATCTTGTAATGCATTTTGGATTGTCAATTTTCAAGAATTTCAAGTTTTCATATATCTGCTTAATCTAAATTATTGTTTAAGCTTTAAATTTTATAATTAGATATGAAGATAAAATTTCAAGCTATCACACAGATCCAGTATTGAAGCTACATCTCTCGACATTATTTGAAGAAGCGCCTTAAATTGATTGTTTAGAGCCTCCACCTTAGACAAACCACGCCCTTTTAGTATTTATTGTCAGTTTGGATTGTATACTACAAGGCAATTTATATATTCCTAGTCATTAGATGTCAAATTAGATGGCTTGGGGTGTATCATTAAGTTCGTAGAATTTTTTTTGAAAATTGAGTCTAGTCAATGACACTCTTATGGCAACTATAATTTAAATATGATGGCTAAGAGTATATCTTTCCATGTCTATAAATATAATGCTTGTAATATTCATCTTAAACATTATTGTCTCAACTATTTCTCTCTATTATATCTTTCCATGTCTATAAATATAATGCTTGTAATATTCATCTTAAACATTGTTGTCTCAATTATTTCTCTCTATTATAACCTCTTTTTTTAGTTGAGTCAATGGGGAGAGGGCCCCTAGCCTTGATAGAAATTGAACGTAGAACGTAGTGTTACAAATCATCACGCACTAACAAATTAACCTTGGGCTCTAATATATTTTTCAATACTTAAAGACATAACTATGTCTTAACTTTCCCTTTATCTTTGTTTTATTGGCCATCCCATTGGAATCGGTATCTGACCAGCCATATAACCAATAAGGAGTTTGATCTAATCAAAACCACTTCGACCATGTAGATTTGATTTTTAAGAAATAAAAAAAATAAGAATAATATTTAAAAATATAATAGAGAAAAACATATACCTCTCTAAACTTCCTATCCCAAATAACCCCTTGGTATCATAAAAAGCTCATGAAACCCCCCAAGTTAAATAAAAAGGGATTTTTACTGTTGAAAACCCTTTGATTAATCATCTTAACATCGAGATGTATGACTGTGAAAATTAAAAAGATTTTAAGTCTCATAAATAGTGCATTTTACAACATATTATCTACACCGTCTATTTTCAAGATTTTCATATGTTGATATATATATACTTGATTTTAACCATTTTTGAAATTTAAAATTTTATAATTAGATATAAAAATAAAATTTGAGATAATCTTAAGAACAATTTATATCAAAATTATATACTATGATAAAATTTGAAGGTGCGCTTTACCCCTACACCTACGGATGCGTCCGTATGCAAACTGCACCCTTTTAAAATGCACCTTTGTTTTTTTTTCTAATAACCTTATTATAAAATTCGAGGTTGTGATGATACCTCTTTTAACTTATTTGTGAGGTTCACAAAATGAGAGAGAAAAATATTCAAGGGAGGGAAGATGAAATCCACTGGTGAGGAAGAAAGAGAAGGAGAAGGCGAACTTCTCCAAGATCTAGATAAAGGGGTGATTAAGAAAAAGAAAAAAGAAAAAAGGGGTAATATTCTATCATTTGGACAATATAAGGGATAAAGAAGGGGGCTAAACATCCTATTTTATTTAGCAATGGGGTTTTCGATGAGATATGGATAGGATTAGGGGGTTATTTGGGAGTATAATTTTAGAGGGGCATATATGTAAAAAAAATAGAAGCTAATTTCTTACAATAGAAAAGATAAGATGGGGTTTAAACATTCTTTTTTATTTAGCAATGGGGTTTGATGGGGTTTAAACATTCTTTTTTATTTAGCAATGGGGTTTCTGTGAGATATTGATAGGATTAGGGGGTATTTGGTCTTAAATTTTCGAGGGGGGTTTATATATTTGTCCTAAAATAGAAATACTATAAATAGACCCTCCGACTTTATTTTACCACATTTACTGGTTGATCCAACCAACAAAAACTAGTCAAACATTCATTTTGGCTGATTTTTAATTTAATTCTTACTTTAGACTGAGTGGCCAAGTTGTTGGTTAGTGGTTCAATATCTGATCTTGACAACTGTGGGCATATCAGATCTCTGAACCTCGATGGGAACCCCAGTCTAAAGAAATAATACCTTGAGGCCCTTGTATTAAGCAGTGCCCGAAAACCACACGGGGAAGGACAACATGGCATCACAAACACTTGAAACATCTTCTAGCTTTTTCAAATCCTCCCCATCCTCTAGGCTCATTAACATCTAGCATACTACAGTGAAAGCAACCTGCAAATCACAACAGCTAAGAAAACCGAAGAGAAAGAGAGGCTAAATATCAATAGAGTAATTATTATATAATCAAGCACCAACTCTTTTTTTCCAAGACAAAATGCAAAATTTTGTAATATCATTCATGAATCAGAAAATATTTTACAGTTAAATAATTTATTAAGGTTATCCTCAAAGTTTCATCCAACACCAGGACTTTTCCTTTGCCTTCCCATTGCAGTAGAGCCCTTACGATCGTTTCATCGAAATTTTGCATGAATGAAGACAACGCTTTGAAGTCGAAAAGGTTGGATAGGCGATGCCTTATTAGTTTGTGGTTTTCTTTTGTAGCACAGAGAAGGCTCCGATCTCCAATGGCCTTTGCAGTTGTTCTTAGATATCGCTTTTTGAAACCCACAAAGTCAGAGCTTAGAACAGTTTTAGCTACTTCAGAGCTTGGGAAAAACACATGGGTTTTGCCAAATATTTTGGTCTTGAAACAGTTGCCATACGTGCAAGAAGAGAGAGAGAGAGAGAGAGATTACACGAGTTAGCGATAAATTTTTGGTGTTCACCCTCGTTTCGAACAGGTGACCTTAATAGCATTCACTCAAAACCAAAATTCTTTATCAATAGATGAATGTCTCGGCACCTTATACATAAATTTTTATGCAACTTTGATGTCATTAAATTGGTTAAATCGAAAATTGCAGTCTGCAACAAATTACTGAGGACAAAGCTCACCATGAGCTCAAATGGGTTTGGTTAATGGAATCAAATCAAGAGAAATTTTTTTATTTGGGTAGAGGAATGAGGAATCTCTCCGGGACTTTCGGTGAAATATCATAAATTTTGTGTAAGTATTATTGGATTTGTTGCTATCCAAAAATAACCCACATAAGAAAATCTCATATTACGTAGGATTAAGATTGATAATAATAAATTTGCTAAAGAAAATAAATATCCAATAAAGATCAAGACTCTTGGATATATCTCTTGATTTATCAGATATATGTAACATCGATAGGAAGTTTCCTATATAGTGTGGATATATGAAATGAAAGAGCAAAAAACTTTGTGTGCCATATTTAGGTCACCATATGGGAAAGGTTTCTAGAGAGAGGGGGTAGAGCCTCTTGTACATGAGATGTAAGGAGGTGCATGAGAAGCAATATCTCCCTTAAAGATAAGAGAGCTTCACTACTATGGTGCCCCTGTAGATTAAGACTTCAAGTTTCTGGTAGAGAAGTGGTTCCCATAGAAATTTTGGATGGTTTTCCCGTTTAGTTAGAGAGAAAACTAGATTATCGTTACTCACTCGTGTCTCTATCTAATGTTGTCGATAATAGTTGTCAGAAGTAAAAAGAAAAAAGAACGACTTGTGGTGTCGGTCGGGAGAGTGGTTTAAAAAAGGTTTGCTCAAATCGGTTTTGTTGGGGGTTAGAGAGGTAACTCTATATCTTTGTTACTCTCGTGTTTCTATCTGGTGTTGTCTGTAATAGTTGTCAGAAATAAAGAGAAAGAATAACGACATGTGGATTGGGTTGAGAGCGCAGTTTAAAATTGTTTGCTTAAATCGGTTTTATGGAGGGTTAGAGAGTAACTCTCTGTTGCAAAATCTTTGATGTAACTATCATCGATATAGTGTATTTTAGTTTGCTGTACCCATAGTGTATTTCGGAAGTAAAAAGAAAAAGGAACGACATGTGGTGTCGGTCGGGAGAGTGGTTTAAAAAAGGTTTGCTCAAATCGGTTTTGTTGGGGGTTAGATAGGTAACTCTATATCTTTTTTACTCACGTGTCTCTATCTGGTGTTGTCGGTAATAGTTGTCAGAAATAAAGAGAAAGAATAACGACATTTGGATTGGGTTGAGAGCGCAGTTTAAAATTGTTTGCTTAAATCGGTTTTATGGAGGGTTAGAGAGGAACTCTATGTTGCAAAATCTTTGATGTAACTATCATCGATATAGTGTATTTCAGTTTGCTGTACCCATGGATGTAGCTCTTCTGGGGTGAACCATGTAAATTCTGATGCTCGTTTTCTGTTATTTCTTTTCTACTTCTTTTTTCTTTCTTACTTTAGAGCTTTTGTGCACAACAAGTGGTATCAAACCCTGTTTTAGGGTTGTCAGTATGGCAGTAAAAGTTTCGAACACAAGGTTCGAGTTGGAGAAATTTGATGGCAAACATTATTTTAGAGCAAGAATGATGAAAAAAACTATTTCGCAAAAGATAAAATATCCATAAAGCTATCCAATGGATGTTTGTATGGTGAGCATGTGATTTTGATATAAAGGTGGAGATTATTGGATTTGGTTTTATCCAAAATCACCCATATAAAGAAGGGATTGAGATTAATATTAATAAGTTTCTTAAAAGAAATAGAAATCCAATAATATTAGGACTCTTGGATATATCTCTTGATTTTTTAGATATATGTAACATCTATTTAAAAGTTTCATATATAGTGTGAATTCCTAATCATATATATATATATATATATATATATATATATATATATAGAAAATGGTGAGATTATCCCATTAGCTCATGTGAACATATGTGTTCATCAAGCCGTACTTAATAAAATATTT